TTTAAATAGTACATAACATTTAGCTATTGACAAGAAAATAGATCGAATTAAAAACCAATAATATCGAAATAATAGGCTACAAATGCTCTAAGATGAAGTATTTTTGGTTGAAATGTTTTTCGTAACTCCAATGCACGCATTCATCAGAGCTTCACTGCGCTTTTAAATGACACATTCTGCGGGATAAACTGCAATTAATTAAGCACTTGAACAAAAAAGGTAAGCTTCATCCATTTTTGTATCTATGCGAAGCATAGATACATTGCTATCGCGTTGTTTGTGAGTTAAACACTCAGGCTGCACACATTAAATTTGTACATGCCTGCGAACAGGCAACCTTAAAAAACAAAATGGCTGCTTCTATTTATATCAGTGATTTATGTACAAGTCTACAATTAATAATAGTACATCGCTATTATTAACATCTGTCATCACAAACAACAATACAATAAAAATGTACTGTGACAAGGTGAGAGTTTGTTTTTTGTCTAAGCGTTTGTATGTGATTTAAAATAAATTTGAAATGCTGTGATGAGTGTGATCCACATCCTATTTCCACAGTGATCGATCGTATATTAATCAGTCTTTTATAACACACTGGCTGTGCTTTACTGGTCTTACTTGACGTTTCCCGAGGTGAAAGAATGTTGAGTGACTACGTGCAAGGCAGTTGCACAAAGGACAACATTGTATGTGCTAAGGGGGTAGAAATATATTTGTTATTGTGGGGAAAGTTATACTCAACACTGAATATGTGTATAAATGTGTCAAGGGTTTTGAGCAGGAGTGGATTGTGGTGTTAAATACAAAATACAAAATAGCCTTAATACATTACATAGCTGAAAGTAAAATTCGCTGATCGAGAATGCTAATGTGGAGTTTAAGAGAAGCTCTAGAAGTACAAGACAATGCATCCCAAAGGTGGTAACCTTCTAGGGGGTACAGGCGATGCCTCCATGAAATTTTAAGTTGGGGTATTCATCATTTTGTTGATCATAACTTTCTGCTTTATAATCATATAACTTTTGTTAAAGGTGATGTAAAGTCCGTAAATCGTAATGTAAACAAACGCTTTGTTTATATTTTGAACTCAGTGCTACAGTTGTAAAATATGATTAGATATATATTATAGTGAATTTTTAACACTCTTCTGGTTCGCTATGCTTGTAAATGAATGCAGAGTAGAGATTCTATTCAAGAAAGTCCGGAAGGTGCGAAATATTAATAACATTCCAAAGGTTGCTCCCCTACTGATGGAATGTGTTGATGCGCAGAATATTTGCGCAGAACGGACTTTACAGCATCTGTAAGTAATGTTAGTTAATTGTGGTTACTGAAGAACAAAATTGTATCAAGTGTGTCATGAAAGCTAGAGAGATTCCCCAAATACAATGCACCGAAATTTAATGCAAAGATACAACTCCCATATATACCCCCAGAATTTACCGGGTACTACCAGTTCACTGGTCACTACTTTGTCTAATGCCGGATGATTATTTTACTTCAACTTTTTTAACACAGAACAGTTGATTTAAAGAATAGACTGTAATTTACGAAAAAGTTTTCCACTGATTTTAATTGATTATTCTTTGTGACATGAATCATGACGAATAAGGTTAATATCAACAACTACAAATGCAGTTTTTTTCATAGTAACAATGCAAATTTAATTCTTTGAGCAAATTCAATGCTTTGCATAGATACATGTACGCATAGCGTGCCTATTTTTATGCTGGAGAAAGCAAAAAACTGAACAAAATAAAGATTACTTGTAATTTTGTCAAACGTTCAGGCCCATATTTTAGTAAAAATTTCTTTTCATCGGCCTACTTTCTTACCACAGCTGCTTACATGAAATGATTTTGTTAGTGCGCCGATTGTCTGCGAGCAGGCTCTAAATTTTCTTGCGGGCTCGCAGGCACCTACACTGGCAGTTATGGAAGCATATTCTTACCGAACAAGGGGTGATACGTAACAGACATTACTGTGTAAAACAGTTCACTCATTTTTGATTATTTATTGCGTAAATAGACTATATAGCATTGCCATCGTTAAGCCGGTTTTCCACTCGGCGGAATTTCGCGCGCGGAGCGGAATCTTTCTTCGTCTTTTCTAATTAGTTCCACCCAAGAAATCACAAGACAAAGAAAACGTCCGCTCCGCGCGCAAAATTCCGCCTAGTGGAAAACCGGCTTTACTGAAACTCTACAGGGTGTCTCAAAAAAACGCTACGGAAATTAAACAGGCTGTCGTGCATCATAAACGTGGCTAAACAATTCAATTTTTACATAGGACGAAAGAACAGTTATTTAGCTTTTCAGTGATACTCTTTTTAAGTCGTAACGATGAAAAATGGCCACATACTCGTCAAATAAAAATTGCTGGTCAAAATCACATTCTTCCACCGTTGGGAATTGCATCGAAAACGAAACATAAACAATTCCCAAGAGCGAATTAAAATTGAATGTTAAATTATCTAAAATAAGCTCAACTCGTCAATCTTCGTCTCAGTAGTTAACATTCACCAAAGCAGGTAAACGAACGTATATATATGTTATTTACTGGCTGCGAGGTCCGGATGAGAAAAACTGTGCCCGAGGTCTTGAAAAATACCCATTACCTAAATGTAACAATTTATCCCCGTAATAATGGCGCTACGTCATCATTTCGTTTATAAAATTACTAATCGCTCCGAAAATATTCCCGTTTACAAGTCAACGTAGCGCCATTATTACGGGGACAAATTGTTACATTTGGGTATTTTACTCATATGTAACAATTTCTCCCCGTGATAATCATTAGATAATCTTTTCTGTTACAGTAAACTGTTAATTTGTCGATATTGTGCACATTGAAACAAAAGGAACGAGTTAGGATTCTATCTACCTTATAATTAAAATATTGTTTTGTTGTGGATAAACGATCCACTAAAAGTAATTACTTGTTGTTAAATTTAATATTAATTTAATATGAAAAATCTAAAATATTGTTAACGATAATAGTTGTGATTGTGATATATAAGTTCTTTTTGGGAAAATTTCTGTGCTTTGGCTTTTTTGTATTGATGAAAATTTGACAATTTAATATTGCACTCGTTGACATACTTCAAAAGTCGGGGCTTAATTCGAGCAACAACATTTTTGTCAAACTTCGAGTTAAGCGCTGGGGCTTAACTCGAATAACCCAAATCGTGTTTCGTTCTTGGAGTTAAGCCCTTTTTGAAAAAGGGCGTGGTCTTGGCAAAACAGGGCGTGGTCGGGGCTTAATTCGAAAAGGGCTTAACTCGAGGGGTTTAACTCGAAGGGCTTAACTCGAAGATTCCCGACCTCTGGATTGACTAGCTTTGCATAATTAATGTATTTTCAATTCCCAACGGTGGAAGAATGTGATTTCGACCGGCAATTTTTATTTGACGAGTGTGTAGCCATTTCTCATCGTTACATTTTAAAAAGGTGTCATAGAATAGCTAAATAACTGTTTAGCTACGTTTATGATGCACAACAGCCTGTTGAATTTCCGTAGCGTTTTTTTAGACACCCTGTACATCCCACTTTGTTAGTTAGCACGATACAAATTTAACTCAGCCCTGCCAAATGTAGGTCCAATAGTATGTAATGGCGCACCTCGTCGAGAGGAACAATACGCTTTCTCTCAATTAATAATTGACTTGCAAATTTTATAGCCATGTCTTATACTTCTACTCGCACTTCCATGACCGTTCTTGCTATGCGAAAGAAAGAATCTTTTAAAATGAAAGAATTATCATCTTTGAGAAAAATATATATACTTTTTGGAAGACTTTGTGGTCGCACGAATGTAAAACTATATAAATTAAACTGTTTTTGCAGTATGTATAATCTAATATGGCATTACTTCTACATTCTACATAGTTTTCCTTGGTTTTGTGGAGCATATGGGCTGGCTCGTCCGAACAAAAAGATCCCTCGTCTGCATCTTTTTCTCACAGTAAAAACAGGGACGAAGAAGTCGGTTGTACGACGCGATCTTAAAGACAAGTACAAGTGTGACGCGAAAGAATATTTTAGGCTCCTGCAAGAACCTAAAAGAAAACCAAGAATGAAATATTTAGCAGATTCAAGCGCCGAACCGTCGACATCGACTGGTCCATCTGTTCTCCCGTCACCTGTTGGTGGTGTACTAGCTTGCATTTCTGGCAATCCAGTTACAGATATGGCAGCAAAAGGAACGTTAACCATTGTTTGTTATAAAAATGGACACCATTATGCACTTACCTGCTTTCATGTCGGTTGTGCAAATGACGAAACCCGTTTCAATTCTACATTTAATGTCAACGTAGACAATATTCGGAAAATTCGCAGTTCACTTCCAACTTATGTGTTCCATGCCCGTGAAAAAAAATATTGGTTTACAGAACGCGCGTTCGACAGCAAGAACAAACCCCTCTCGTATGAAGACGATCTAAGCAGCGACACCTCCCATGGTAATTTCCATAAATATCATTTTGATAGTGAATGCGACATTTTGTCTGTGAAAGTTCCAGGAGATACAAATATAAATTGCAAAATGACAGGTGTGACTTGTCTAGATTTGAACAGTATATGGGTTGAGTTGCTTGATAAATTTGCTGAATGGAATGACAGTTCTGACAATCCAGTGGAAGTGAAGAAAATCGGATTTTCGTCGGGCTTGACCTGCGGCCATCTTGTTACAACCAGTTATAATCACCCCGACCTGTACAAGAATGCAATTGCTGTTAAGGGTTCATTTTTGGAAAACGGCGACTCAGGCTCCCTTGTTTTCTTTCTTGACAAGAATAATCAAAGACAAGTTTTTGCTTATGGTGTTTGCGAAATAGAAGAGCTTCTCTCGGAAGAGCCCGAGTCAACGAATTCCACTTCGCATGAAAACGCCTTACTAGAACAGACAACCTTCTCCGACGATAGTGATAATGATGATGTTTGCGAAATGGATAACGTTCTTTCACCAGAACAGCCCAAGACAACAAGTTCCACTTCGCATGAAAACGCCTCGCCAGAACAGACAACGATCTTCGACGATAATGACAGTGATGATAGTCCATGGGAAGTCACATTCGATGACGAGAGTGAAAACAGCGCTACAAATGTAAGGGGACCATACTCTATCTGTTTAAGATTAGATACCGCTTTAGAAAAGTTGGGGTTTGACAAAGCATGTATGAACGATTGTGGTAGAAATTGACGCATGAATACCACCGAAACGGTGGCTAAAATAATGTTTCAAATCCGACTATGAGGACTGGACGAGATTTTAAGTCGAGATTTTAAGACGCCATTTGATCAAGTCGGAGGCGAAACCGAGGACTGGCTCTATATGCTTAAAATCCAGTCCAGTCCGAATTGGAGGATTTGAAATTACATCTCATACAAATAAATCACAACTTAATAAAGTGAGGTGAATTAATTTTGATCCAGTCGAAGGACTGGATTAATTTTGATCCAGTCCTAAGATTGAATCAATGCACTTCACCAGGTACCCAGTATAATCATGTGAGCAAAATAAAAAAATATGGTTGGCTAATTTATTCATGAATTATTAATGAGCTTGAGGTTTTTGTATGCCAATCACAACTATTTGAAAATAATTAGAAAGGAATGAACATACATTCCGACAACTCACATCAATAGTCATGAATTATACATCTCAAACTCACTAATAATTCATGAGTAAATTAGCCAACCATATTGCTTTATTTTGCTCACTTGATAATACTGGATACCTGATGAAGTTTGGATCAAAATTAATTCAGTCCTAGGACTGAATCAAAATGAATTAAATAGGGATTTATTCGCATGAGATGCCATTTCAAATCCTCCAATTCGGACTGGACTAGATTTCAAGTCCTCGCATTTTGATCCAGGCCTTGGCTTCGCCTCGGATTTGATCAAATTGCGCGGACTTGAAATTTAGTCCAGTCGTCATAGTCGGATTTGAAATATTACTTGAACCTTGAGCATAACAATATTAATCATCATCACCAACTAAAAATTATAAATGTCAATATATAATCAGCACTATGTATCCATGATATAAATACACACTAAGTAAAGCGTTCACGACTCGTTCAGTAAATGGACCAATTAACTCTATGAAGTAACATAAATGCACTAGGTTACAATAACATTAAAATTGCTGTCGTATGAGTAAAGTATACAGTGGTGGGAATTGCTGGGGTGAGGACAATTGCCCCACCACCTTTGCGGAAAATTTGACGATTTATTCCGTAATAAAACCATTCAAATTTGAGTGTAATTGGGGAGAGTCAGCAATTCAGAAGACTTTGCCCGACTACCAAAAATGTGAACTTCCGCCACTGAAGATCTCCACCGTAAAATGAAATATAATATGCAACGACAAAACGTAGGACAAAACTAGGGGGAAGTGGCAGTGCCCGCTACGATATAAACTTTCATCAACGTGATAATTAATAATCTTTGTATTTAATTGGAAAAATATATTTCTCCATGTATATCCGCACCTTACGAATTAAGAATAACGATAATTGTTCATTTTTGGGTTTCTTCTTTCCTTGAATTATAATTGTTAATGTTTAAATAAAATGCAATGTAACTTTTTTACTCTTGTCTTTCAGTACGTAACTTACGGCAAAGTAAGTGAAGGAGGCTCAAAGATCTATTTTTATATCACATTTTATTCATTAGAAATCTCCAGTTGAATTGTAGTGAAATAAAATTATATACCTGTTGAATATAAATAAATATTGTAAGTGAGCGAGTGCGGGCGTGTGACAATCATGCTTACTTGCAACTGAGAGCTAAGCAGCTGAGAGCGAACGACGTAGCAGTCAATTTGATCGAGTCGAAGGCACCTTTGGCTGCCACTTTATGACTCGTGCCTGATCACGGAACACAGCTACGGTCAAGAGTTAGTTATGGGCTTATCCCAAATCACCATGTTGTCATTCTCTGTGGGACTTAGGCGTAGCCCCCCCCCCCCCCCCCCCTATCCACCCACCTAACCAGGAAATGTGCCTTGTCTGATCCAGTACAAATCTTTTGGATTGTCTATGCTGACAGACGTTTCTTTGAGTCTCTCTGCAGCAGTATGTTATAGCTCACTCAGTGGGCTATGATGCTGGACTTAGCGAAAATCGTAAGAACTTGCGAACTTAACGAAGCCCTTTATACAAGCAAAATCATATTTTTTGAACAGGAATATGTACGTTAATATGAGCTCAGGTGGTTTTCAAGTTGGACCTTATCGTAACGTATCGTAGAATTTTCCTTTTTTTGTCGAAGGCCATTAGTTCCACTCTAGTCCTCAGTTAAACGATACCGGATTCCCATTGGAGCGAGTCGAGCGACATCAACTAAGACGCTTTTCGAGTTTTCGGCCTCTTACAACTGTTTATATTTGACGTTTTTGGCTAATTCTGTAACATATTATCATAATTTTTGGTGCTAAACTCCCCTTGAAACTCTAAAATTTAATGTCGTTCCGATGCGAATCCGCTATCGTGTAACTGGGGTCTCAGAAAACAAAGAAATACTCTACTCTACTTTACTCTACTCTATACGCTTGGGTCGATACGATATGATTGAAGTAGAAAACGGCCTTAAAGCATGTCAAAAATATAGTCTGGTTCACCCAATCGACCATTGAAGTCGTGCTTCAGTATACACATAATGAATGTTTATGAATGAGCGCGATGGTAAAAATATTTTCGTGAAGTGAAAGATGGAATTTTCTATTCCACAAGACGACACCGTGGTCGAGCAAAATTTTCAGCTTACCCGGTGTTAACTAGACTGCTCGCAGCCCAAAATTTCGTTCAAAGGAAAGCCGGAAATTTGGGTTTTGCCTTTCAAATTTTCGGTTGGGGGCTGCGAGCAGGCTAGGTATCAACCCACTTGGACAGTATTTGTGAGTTGGGCAGGGGTGCCGCCAGGAGTTCCCCGACAAAGGGGCTAAGGTTGCCAACAGGGGGCTAAGTTTGTACAGGCAAAAAATTTTATTGGAGGGGCGGGCACGCTTCCTTGAAAATTGTTTTGAATTTTGAGTTCGCTGTAATGGTAGTCCAGCATTTCGAGGATACTGTGCACGAGAATATATTTCCTAAAGTCCTGGGTCTAGTCGCGCAAATCCCATTTTGAAGGGATAAGAAATATTGCAGCACATGTTTAAATTAAAGTTTAATGTAAAAAGGAGATATTTCATTTTTGGTCGTCTAAAAAGTTGATATTTGATAGTAGATACTTTTACTCTTTCACATATTTGACGCCTGTCACCATATATTTTGTCCCTCCAAACGATCCCAGAATGCACTGTGATCTCGTCTGGAAAAAGGCTAATTGTCTGCAACAGTCTGTTTAACAACTCTACAAAGCATACTGCTTACAAAACGTAGTGTCTTCCCCGACAAAATGCAACTTTATTTGTCCCTGACCGGGAGGTAGCTTCCACCGACAGGGGTTATAGGCCCTTCCCCCAGACGAGCCCCTCCTCTGGTGCCAAACTTGAGTTGGGCACCCTGGTGAAATACTGTCTTGAATAAAATAAACATTGGTTCTACCAGACCGGCATTTTTAATCTAAGCGCCAAAACCATCTCTTAGATTCATAAGCGTGCGGACGGGAGAAAAATTGGGGGAGGGGGGGGGGTGGCAGACAAATTTCACCCGACCTTTCTTTGCATATTCCCAGACTAATTCAAAAATATGTTTTCGTGGTATACTTGCAAACCTTTTATCCCCCGCCGATTGGCCTATATTTAGATTGAATTCTCGATTAACACTTATAATCATTTGGGGGGGACACCGCGACACAAGGTTTTTATGTTGTTTGCAAACATAGCCAACCATTTATACTGTTCTCAAGAGGTTTTTGAATTCGATGTTTTGATTTTAATTATATTACAATGCAACAAAAATTTGGTAATTACTACCCTATTTTTACTCAGTTATGTTGGTCAATGAAATAAGTTTTTTTTAACTAACCCTAATTTTGCTACAAAAGCGCTCAGCTAAAACTCCATTGAATTTAAACAAAAGAAACAATTCGACGTGGAAATCAAAGATCGTGTTTTTATATTAATATATGCAAATCATTTAGCAATTCATTGCGGAAATATTCATTGCCATATATGCAGTATTTTTGTCAAAGGATGAAAACATGCAGTCGAAAATTGTGTAGTTGTGGTTTTAATCAATATTTTATACTGAACCAGAAAACGTCTGAAAACCTATTCAGGCCTATTCAATATGGAAAATCTTGTATACAAATGCTGTTAGCTCGTGAGGAATACGATTGCCTTGTTGTTGACTATGATGGGCCTGTACTCTGTCCTTGTCCTTTGAGCTTTCGGCTTTGGTCAAAATTCACAAAATCTATAACAATTTACATGCTATAGAGTATAGACCAAGTGTTCCAGCTTTCGAATTTCAAGAAACAAGATGGATTTATAAGGTGAGTAAGATTTAAGCAAAGTTTCTCATTAATTTTAGCTTCTCGTTTCATGTTGACATATTAATCTGTTCTGGCTGCATTGCTTGATTCTTAAATCGGACATGTGAAGCTATGTGGGTAGACATGCTGTGTGTACAAATTACATGCACACTGTAGGCGTATATACAATGAGAAGATTTACTTCGCTATTTACAGTGCTAAGACGATAAACGTAACGTTTCGCTGTATTTAATATAGTGTAAGTAATTTCGCCTTGAACTACTTTCTTCACATACATTTAGACGTCAATTTTAACACCTAGTTGGCTGGTATTTGAACTGTTGAATTCTGTAATCAAAACCTGGAATTGTTGTCATCAGCTCTTAGAAAGTGAGTGTGATATATAGGTTTAAATAAGAAAGTAAAACTCATATAAGTCTTGAGAATATAGACATATATAGAGCTGGGGCTGATTACATGAGAGTTTTCAATCCGTTTACAACCTAGCCTCCTGTGCAGACGTTGTTAGTGGGGCCTCGGTCACTAACAACATCTGCGCAGGAAGCTATTCAAATTAGAACCGAGCTGAAATTGTTTATACGCTTGCATATGGCAGATTGGCAGCGCCAACGTGAATATATATTATATAACATGTTTAACTCACATTGAGTTACATTGCGCCCTACTTTATTATGTTACTCGGTCTAATGCCAGATTATTTTACTGCTCTGTCTAACGCTAGACAATTTTGCTCGCCAAGAGTAAACTAATCTCGAATAACAAATGTTTATTTAGGAATTAAAACTGTAGCTACATGGTTTATCATGCAAAGCCTTAGAAACGATTCTCGATAGCACTGCCACTGGCAGCATCATCGACATTGGAATATTACCAGTCTCGCTGTTAATTTTTTCAAAGCCTTGTATATTTTGTCACTGGAATTCTAATACACAGGATTTATATTTTGCTTCAAATTTTGTTGAGTAGAACTTTTTGATAGTTAATTTTCGTTCCAAAAATTCAAATTGGTTGACTTATTTTATTTTATTGACATAAACGCACGAGGTGGGGGGAGGGCGGGGGCCCAGAACACTGTGAAGTTCGGCATATTATAGACGTATGTTGGGCAAAAGGGCGGGTTAATAATTGTTAAAGCAAACAATATTTAAGCTAATAGTCGAAAATACAAAAAATATGTAAATTTCGAAATATTTTTCTAACTCCCGCCCGTCGACAAGAATTTTGTGAATTTTATACGTAATTTTTTTTTGATGAGCGGGGCAAAAAGCAAAAAAGTCGAGTAAATTTCTTTCTGCCCCCCCCCCCAATTTTTTCTTTCCCGTGCACCTATATGTTTATTGATATTGCTTTTTTGCCGGTAACAGTTTAATTTTCAACTTACTTTCGAGAGCACTTGAATTACTGAAAAAGCAAAAGTTTTGTACTCGTTTACTCCTTGTTTCGAAAGTTTACTGATCAAAATGTCATAATCAATAACATCGAATGCTTTCCTTAAGTCTAGAAAGGCACGAACAACTTTCTTTCTTTTATCTATGGTGAATTTCCAGGAATCGGCAGTAATAATAAGTAACAAGAAAAATTATCC